CTTGTTGCAAAGTTTGCAAGATGTGTTTGAACATTTTATTTTATGGGGCTTTCTGAAAAAATATTCCAATGCCCTATTACATGAGAAGGCCTCAGGATGGGGTCCGTTTATGGAGATCCTCAGGCAGGCAGCCAGGTGTTCACCTTGAAGCTGGTTTCAGGTCTGTTTTCACCTGAGGATAAAGCAAAGAAAATACCACAAACTGCACTAATATGAAGAAAATGCATGATTATTTGTTGTCCTGTTCAAGGTCATGCTCTTACCCTGTTCACCGTTGAGAAATCACGTTGTAATTGACACAGGAAACGGGTAAAACAAGTGCAATGCCTGCAAGGAGGCTCAGACAGGGGTAGAGGTTGGTCCACTCATCAAACTCGCTTGCCAGCAGACTCATGATCTCCTGGTTATTGTTCTTGAAACAACATTTGGTTTACCAAGGCATTAGTCTATGTGTGTGTATTGTGAACTGTAGTTGATTGTAGTCAGAATCAGCTTAATTGACCCACCGTGAATGCCCCAGGAAGGACATGATTTTTGAACGAGGACCACTCCTGCAGGACCTCATTCTCATGTTCAGGGCAACATTTCCTGCAAGAGTCCGCAGATGAGAGATGTTGATTGTATCATCTTGTAGAGTGGTTGATTGCGGTGCGGGTCCCAAGATACTGAAGGCCCCAAGAATGTCCAGATCATGAAACCTCCTCTCCAGGTGTGTTTCCAGGCCAGTTATGTAAGGGTGGATGACCTACAATGAATAAATCAACATATTTTTAGAAAGAGCCTACACCCACTGTTACCTCCGTCATTAAGGGCCAGGCCATAGTCTATTCAGGAGTATAAATTCCATTTTCTCTCATTCATAGTTTCAAAATTGGACATTTACCTCTCGCTGGGTTCTGGCTCACTGCTCCTCCCTCAGCGCTTCATGACATCTCGCCCTCTCCTATTCCTCTCCTCCTCGTGCTGGCTCCGAGTCCTTGGGGATCATCGAGGTCCTGATGGAGGCGAGGCAGGCATGATCCAGGGAGTGGAGTCTGTCCAGCCAGAGACTGAATTGTGACAGGAACCTATATATAAAAAAGAAAAGATGCTGTTAAGTATTGGTCAGACCTGCAAACAACCCTCATTTCAATGTGTGAAATCAAACAGATTTGAATAAATAGATGATAATATAGATAATAAACACATTAAGCTTACCTGCTCCTTGATTTGTAAAAAGTTGACATTTGCTTTTTGAAAGATTTTGGACAGACATGCGAGGTGGGGCAAAACATCAGCCTGGAGGTAAACTGCTGCCGCTTTATCTGTATGTAGCACAGAATGTGTAGGGTCCCTTTGCCACTGGACATCTTCTCATCTCTGCCTCCTCTGCCAAGGCTCCAAGGAATGCACTCAAGTTCCTCAGTAGGGTCTCGATGACCCTGTGCTGAAAGAGCCAGCTTGTATCCTTCACTTCCTGAAAATGTTGCAATAAAGGACAGAATGATTAGTTATGAATAGACAGAAGATAACTACAATGGTATCAAATAACTATTACCTTTATTTTCAGATCACTGACACCCAGGGTAGCCGATGCTGCCCGAGTGTTGCAGTACGATTTGCACTGTTTCTGAAAAATAAATGAAGTTCTTAAAGGTGGTCCCTATTCACCCCCATTGAATAGGGACCCCATTCACACGCCGCCAAAATGTATATAAAATCAATGAGTGACAAGCATGGGATACAACAGACAAAACAAGCTCACATAGGCATTAAATATTTACCTGTCATCACGGCTGCCCCCTCAGTCCCAAGTCCATAGAGTTTCTCTGTTGGGAGGCCCTTCCTCAAGATTACATCCTTGATGGCTGTCACAACACAGAGTCTGCTTTGCCATCGTCAATAGAGACCAAGTCCAGGAATTGACTCAACACATGTCCCTCTTTATCCAGGTATCTGAGAGAAAGCAAAGGCAAGTATTTAGTATTAAAAGTTCATTCGGACCAAGGATGTATGCAATTCTAAAATCAGACAAAATAAATGGTCCTATAGCAGACATGCAAATGAAGCAGTCTGGACATAGAGACATCAGTGCTAGCCTGGAAGTCGGCTCCTCGATGACTCCTGCTAAGATCTCAAGCATTCCGTCAATGATACGATGAGATCTATAATTATTCCTCTGGTCAATCTGACGTTGGGAAAAGTAAAATATAAAATATTTAAAAAATGTATTCATTAATGTTAAGATTGAATTAAATTTGAAATTATGGCTAGGGGACCTTTACCTTTAATCTCTTGAAATAGTTACATCCTAGAAGCTCAGCCAGGCTCAACAGCTTTGGGTAGTTTGTGTGGGGGGCCAGTTACTTTTTTATGAGCCAGTAAAGGCCCTTGAACCCACCAATGATTGCCTCGTGCTCTAAAACAACAGTTGGCTCAGAGGAATCCATCATTGAGATGCCTGTAAATGACAAAGTTATTAAAAATGGATTTGAATATACTGAAGTTATTACAAAACGGCTGTTGAAATCAGAACCCACCAGATGAAACAAGAGGCCTGACATCTGATGCTCTCCTGGTGGTGCTTCAGTGACGTGCCGTTCCAAGTAATCTTTTCTGTATACAGTCACTCCGACCTCAAGAAAAGCTCTCTTTGCCCTGCCTTTCTTATTTGCAGCACAGTCAACAAAACATCCCTAAAAAGTAAAGCAATCATTGATCAAATTAGCTAAATATCCACAGATATACCTGTTAATTTATTCTTTTTTTGTGATTGAATTATGCACAACACAATAAGATCACATATAATAACAAGTAGCTAAGGAAATAAGAAAGAAAATGGGGGGAAAAAAAGATTATTCATGATAGAACAAATTATGCAGGTAAAAATGTAACTTACCATGCTGTGTGTGGTACAGCCAAGTCTTTGAGGCATTCTCAGCCACTCTGGATCAGTGCCTCTGTGCTTGATGTCCTGTCTACAAAGCACAGAAGAATAGAAATGAGGCCTATTTCTAAGGAAATGTGCTTTTCTGACCTGACCTGCTTCTGCATCTGTGTTTGCTGTTGTCCTCCTCTCCTATTTCTCTCTCTCCATTACCCACATCCTATCCCATCCTGACTCTCCCTAGCAGTGCTTTTAGCTCTCGCAGCAATGTGTACTGTGTAACTATATTAATAACCATATTAATTTTCACTGAACTCATTTACAGAATATAGCAGTAGAAATATAAAATATAAATAACATATGGAATGAAAATAAGATATAAAGCACATAGATATAAAGTATAAGAAATAGTTTGAAGAATACAGCCATGTACTGAGCTCATGTTAATAATAAATGAGTTACTGTATGTTCTGTACTAAAGCACAGAGAGTTGGGACCTGTTAATGATTTAAATAATTCAGGTTATATTTGTTTCATGTTAAGATGAAGTACTATCCACAATAAGCTGCTTAATTTTTCCTCACCCAAAATCTGAGATCATTTGATGTGGAATATCATTGTGTGAGTGAGTGAGAGAGCTGAAAATAGAATGATTACAATAAGGTTTATCTTCTTAACTTTGAATAGATGTTGATTACCTGAATACTGGACCTTTGTTGTCTGGGTAGTACACTGTTGAATTTATAAATGTAATCTTACACACAGATGAATACAGAAAAATAGATGAGAACAAAAAAAATGATTTAATGAATAACTGATATTTTCTCTCTTTCTTTGCCATCCTGAAGACCCCTCACTAAAAGTCCATGTTCTCCTGGATCCGTGTCACATGTTCGAGCTTCTTCAGAATGACATTTCAACAGTCAAAGTTCTGGTGAGAGAAGATCGCCAGCAGATAAGACAGCAGTACATCAAGGAGCTCCACAAGCTTCAGGAGGAGGAGGAGGGTTTGCACCTTGGAAGACTGTATTCATGCTTCAGCTGTTCAAATAAAAATAGATCTCCTCCAAACAACTTGCAATCAAACCATTTTCTTCCCATTTTAAAACCCTTTGTCCAGTTTAGATGGGAGAAGTTGATATTATGTGATATTGATCTGGGAAGACTACATTTCTAAATCATTTTTAACTGTGCTTTTATTCACAAGTTATTGATCTTATTTACTCTCCATGTATATTGATTTAAGAATGGGGCTGTGTTTAAGGTCATCATTTTGCAATGACTCTGTTCCATCCCATTTTAAGAAATGAACTGCATTAGTATTTATCAAAAGAATAAAAAGTTGTGTAAAAGTAGACTTCCTTCCCTAAGCTATTGAGTTGAGCATTAATGCACATTTTAGTCTTGTCATTTCAAATCTGAAATGTATACTCATAAGTAGACATAAAGGAGTGCATTTATATAGAAATATTTATTTAATCTGAAAAACAACATTAAAAAAAGTCTGTTTTTATAGCAGAGATTAACATGTTTACAGCTTGGTACAAAACAAACAAATAGGTGTGATTAGCTCATGTCTCGATCGACACACACTGTACGGGGGGTGAATGTTTTGATGACTCATCAGTTTTGATTTGATGAAGGATAAGAGTTATTCACAATAAGGCGTGTAGCTGACCAGCTTGACAGGCGGGCGCGGTGTAACGGTTTGTCAAGAGGCTTAAAACACGTCTCAGCTCTCAGTCTGTGGGTGTCATCACTCAGGCCATCCGGGGGAGACCTCCCTCACAGCGAGCTGTTGAAGAGAAGCAACCGAAATCCACCCCAGAAGAACCAACAAATGCAGATGTTGTTGAAGCTCAGGTTTCTTCCTCTGTCTCTGCAGCTCTCTGGGCACCTCGACGGACCAGTCACCAATAATCCACACTGTGTCTATAGGAGAAATACAAAGGTGTTCAATTAATGCCTCAGACAAGACAAAATGTACAGTTAACTACATGTGACAGTTCAGGGTGTTTTTTTTGTTATTAGCCACATCTGCAGGAATAATATTGAACAAGGTAGCTGCAGCTCATCATAATAGATGCCAGTCTTAACACTATTTTTTCTAATACTTAAATTTTTTGGTGTGAAGCTGACACTGTCCACAGACTCCATGACTTCACGGGGTTCAATAGAAAACAAATGTCTTATAATAAATGACAAAGGGTTTTTAATTGAGGATATGCTGGCAGAGGTAGGGGCATCACTGATCATCCCCCCACTAAAAACCGCCCCTCAGCTCAGCACATCAGACACTGGAAAAACTCAAGCTATTGCCTGCCTGAGAGTGTTGGTGGAGAGGATAATACGACGTGTCAAGGAATACCATATCTGGGATGGGGTTGTTCCTCTCTCCTTGGCCGGCTCCATCAACCAACTATGGGCAGTTTGCTGCCTGTTGACGAACTACCAAGGCCCCCTGGACATCAAAGGTGACAAGCCTGTCTAGCTGGTTGGATTTAGCACATTCCCCAGTTATTAATGACAATTAATCAAATGTAATGTATACATGAATTGTATATCTGTAATGTATATTATTTTGTTTATATGTTATTTACATTACAAATCAAGAGATTAACACATGAATTGTATATATGTGATGTTCATTATTTTGTGTATGATATGTTACTTATTTACATTACAAAGTCAAGAGATTAACATTTGAATAAAAAAGAAGTAAACACAGACCCTCACATCACATATTCCTCATTTTTATCTAAAATGGGATCACAGCATGTCAAGTAGAATAACTATTTAGTGCAGCATAAAAAACAGAACTGTAGTCAGTTACACAAATACATTTTAGTTTTAATTCATTAAAAGGCACATGTAAACATTTCATTTAACATTAATTAAACAGTCTTATTTACAAGGTTATGATTTTTCACTCAACAATTCATAAACTGCATTGATAGCACATACAGTACTCAATGTTTGGACTTGAGAAACACATCCATATAGATGTTGTAATAGAACATGTCAAGCTGCTGCCTCATTGAACGAATGGTGTCTTCATCCCTCCAGACCCTCTGAACTGTGAGATCTGTGTGTGTGCGTGTCAGTTACAAAGTCACACCACTCCAGTCCGCTGATGGCAAGTTGGCCCTGAACCTGCCAGTAATATTTATGACCCTTTTTAAGTGTGGCCTGACCTCTGACTGGTGTTAGGTGCTTAACCTCAGCAACAGAATCGGTACTGCAGCATTTCACTTCCACCAGTCCAAATGGTGGAGTTTCAGTCGGGTCAAAAACTTTGCCATCTGGGCTGACACCAAGGTGAGGTGCATCAGGGTGCACAATGAAGACAAATTAAACAAATCAGAAAACTGTTTTATTATGTCAGGCTCCTGCTTCAGACCCCTTTTCATTGCCAGGGTCTGTGGCGCTCCTTTAAGAATATGCGCTGCCAGGGCTTTTGCTGAGAACTCACCACGTACATGACATGCCTCCCTGAACCTGCTGGCAGTCACTCTTGGCTTTCGTACTGAGACCCACAGCGGGCTGACAGACTGTTGCCTGGTCTCAGCTTCTATGGCAGCAGAGAGTTCGTGAGACACCTTTAGGCTCTCAAGGTGGTAATGCTGCTCATAGTCAGCAGTAAACTCAAAGTCAGCTAGAAACCTGTAGCCTTCAACAGGCAGCAGAGGGAATTCTGGGGCATTTGGATGTTTCATTATTTCCCTAGTAGCCTCTAAGGGGCACTGGTATGATAGAACTGATCCGAAGGGCACAAGACCAAATTTGGACTCCACCATGGTGAGTTCCTCAAGTCCATGAAGAATCTTACAGATCCCCAGCTGTGGCTAAATGTCTTTCAATTTCTCTCCAACAGACATCACACCCGGGTCAGGAAGGGGCCCCACCACACAAGATTATATGAGGATTCATCAGTTATATTTTGTGTGTTTTTAATAGAACTGCCAACTGCAATTGTTTGCACACCTCTGCTGGAGACTCTGCTCTTCCTCTTCCTCCCATCAAGGTCCTGACCACCTCCCCCCCTCTCTCAGCTCCTCATCAGCAGCTTCAAAGGACAGCCCACCCTCACCCTCACCCCGCTCACTGTCCCACTCTCACTCTTACTACCAGCCAGGTACAAAGAGAACTCTCCAGACTCCACATCAGAAAAGCCAGTGGACCAGACAACATCAGTCCCAGGATCCTCAAGGTGTGTGCGTATATACATAGATATATATACATATATACTGTACATTCTATATATTTATTATTATACTAGTCTATATTATATAACATTTCATTATATTACACTATATTGTTCATATTGCACTATATTATACCATTTATTTATCATACCAAGTCACTTTAATCATCACTTGTCACTTTATCTTGTCATTCTCTTCAAATACTGTTTCAATTCTCAATTCCCCCAGTTAACTTCAACATTCATTTTTGTACTGTATATACCCCCTGTTTTTATTTTTTATTTTTATTTTTATTTATCTCATCTATTCTGTTTAATGTGTATTTGAGCTTTCTTGTCTGTGCTGCTGTAACGCCCGAATTTCCCCTCTGGGGATCAATAAAGTATTATCCTATCCTATCCTATCCTAGATGTTTAGAATAACATTCATATGGTTGACTCACCTGAATATGCTGCATACAAGGTGGATTTTACACCTGATTTGACACCAACTTCAATTTTGGTTTCCGAACCACCATCTCATCCACTGACTCTGGCTGGATCCCCTGTTAAATGGCAACAAAGACATTTCAATTAATATAATATACAGGAAAAGATTAAAAGTTCCATTACAAAAGTTAAATTGTAGTAAGACACCAAATTGGGAGACAGTATATTGTTAGGGTTAAAATGTTTTGATTTCTTTTGACAGAAACAGAAGACATTGTGTAGTAGCCTACATCAGAATGGTGGGTGGCATAGATCAACTCTGAAAAAAACAGTCAACCTAAGATAACTTGCAAATAATCACTTTTTCCATGTCATTTTCTGGTTCAAGTCAATTACTTTATTTATTCTTTTTCAAATTGGATTTTTTTTTATAGTCGAATTAAGAATTCGTGTTAGGGGAACCGGAGCACCCGGAGTAAACCTAAATAAGAGAGACAAGGATTAAAAGGTAGAAAAGGGAAAGCTAGGGTCTAATATTAATTACTTTTCAATAAGTTGTGCAGTTGTTGTGCACTATTTATAATTTCAACAATCAACTTTATCAGCTTCAGTTTTTATAGAACTGAGGGAATAAGGTGATAAAGTGAAAGGTTTGGGGAGGGGGTGGAGCTAAAGGGGGAGATAAAAGGGGAGAAAATGAACGGTTGGTGAGGTATAGAGGGGGGCTATTCCAAGACTTCGCAGTCACAGCAACAGAGGAATCGCCATGGAGTATTTTTCTCCTCCTTCTTCTTGCCCTTATTTGACTTGACTCCAACTTGCTGCACTTTATTCATCCTCAGTTTCTTAAACCAGCTCCACCTATTTGACTTGACTCTGACTTGTTCTTCAGAAATAGTTGGCTGCACATTATTCTTTTTCTGTTTGATGAAGATGCTCCACCACTTTGACTTCTTCTCTGCTTCTTGCTCAACAAAGCTTTCCTCTGTATTAGCAAACTCATAAAGTTCATCCATTTCCAAATGATTGCGAAGGGACGGAGTTGTGTCCATATTAATTATCCCCTGCTCTGTGTCGATCTTTTCATTGCTCCGCCATTGACTGACTTCTTCTCTGGGACTTCACTTTTGATATCTGCATTTCTGTGGCTCCTTGAAGTGTCAATTTGTTTGCAAAGGCTTTTGAGAACATCTTTCAATGTCCTTATGACACCTTTGAACACCCCTCTGCATGCTCTGCAGTTTGGGCACTTGGCACAGGTACCAGAATGGACAACAAAGGGTTGTTTTAAATCTTTCATAGCCTTTAAGATAATGGAGTCATCGCCATTGGTGAACATATTGAGGAAAGCCTCTGCAAATGTGGGAGTAACTCTGATCGATGCGTCAGCACCAACCACTTCCCAGAAAGCCTCGCTGAAGGAGCCTTTTAAATTCTGTTCCATTTTTTCATTGTAGATTTTACTGGCCCTTCTATGACCTAAACCTAAGTTCAACTCGTTGCAAACTATATCATCAAAATACAGTGGAGCGACTGTCTCTACGGAAAATCTCAGCACATCTGCATACATGCTGGTCAGCTTCTTCTTCCCCTCCATGTCCAATATGCCTCTGCTTAAATCATTTTTTTGCCTCTTAGTAAGGCTGTCAAAGAATGACTTGAATATAATACAAAAGCTATTTTTCAGTAGCATTACTTTCTCAGCAAAGTGTTCCTCTTCATCATCCATTTCCAAATGATTGCAAAGGGACGAAGTTGTGTCCATATTAATTATCCCCTGCTTTGTGTTGATCGTTATAAAGATGCTGCTTCCTTTTCCATGTTAGATGGATCCATTGTGCTTTGTTTGAGATTAGACTTTTTCTGTTGAGAGCTTTTTAAAGTTTTCCCTTCCTTCCTTTCTTTTTGTTTGATTTCATGACTGTTCGCTATGATGGACTTCTCTGGGTTCAGTTAAAGGGATATAGTTATTCTGATAAATTTGACTGTCTGTTCACAATCTTGATCTGAAAATCCTAAATCTAATTATAAGCGAGTTATGGATTGTTACATCACACATCAAAGTGTCTACTCAACCCTGTTGACACAATGATGACGTATGTTAGCGATCGTACGCGCCTGCGCAGTTTGGCACCGGAAGTACGGCGAGGTGCGCGAAACTATGCGAGGGGATTTACAACAAAATATTATGATACCTAAACCAGCTGACTTTGTCAAGTTGTAAAACACTTCCAGGTTCGTATGGTATTAGAAACTACAGAAGTTAAGAGCACAAGTCAGTCATCAGTGGTCATATTTATAAAATGTCAAACAAGAAGACAGACTTTGAGTTAGCCTATGTGTCGTAAAATGACAAACTGGCAAGCTTAAAACAAGGATACAAGACCACTTTGTAAGAGGCCAGGGTCGTTATTAACAAGACAGAAAACTAGCAAAGTGAACCTATATGACAGGGCACATTTCATATTGTGTCTTTGGCTTGCTAGTGTTACACCCCTGTAGCTCAGTAGTCCCATGACAGCTCTCAGCTCTCCCACAGTCTTTGGTTTCTTCTCCTTTAAAGCTCTGACAGCAAGCGTATCAGCAGGGTCCATTTTGCTGCCCTCTGCAGATATACGTCCTAAATAACGAACCTCACGCTTGAAGACTTCACACTTACTTGGTTTCAACTTTATCCCATGCTGACGTAGTCGCTGTAACACTGTTCTCACATCCTCAACATGGTCCTCAAATGATTTGCTAAAGACAAGCGTGTCATCCAGGTATGGTATGAAGATCTCATCACGCAGCCCTTCCAAACATTCTTCCATACATCGCTGGAAGGCAGCTGGGGCATTCATCAAACCAAAGGGTATTCGAATCCATTCATAAAGACCCCAAGGTGTCACAAAAGCTGTCATAGGTCTGCTTTCTTTAGCCATGAAGCCCTGATGGTAAGCTTTACCTTGATCTAAGAGAGAGAACCAGGAATTTCCACCTAGGCCATCCATGATGTCTTGCACTCTGGGAATCGGTTGGCGATCAGGAAGGGTTTTCTTGTTCACTTCACGGAAGTCAATACACAGCCGCAGAGTTCCATCTTTTTTCGTACACAAACCACTGGTGATGCATACGGTGAGTTTGACTTCTCCACCCAGCCTTGTGCGATGAGGTCATGCAAGTAATCTTTCATCTCTCTGTAAAGTGGCTTAGGTACAGAGAGGTATGTTTTTGCGACAGGTTCAGTGTCTTTCAGAGATATGCTGAGTTGCAGTTTCTCTATGCAGCCGATATCATCATCTGTTTTTGAGAATGAAGCCGACTCCTCTCTCAACATCTGGTGAGCTATCTCCTTCTCGGGTTCGCTGAGGTGGCTCAGATTCACAGGTGGGTCCCATAAATTGTCATTACTGTGTTTCTTTTCAACTCTGATGTGATTCATAGTTGCTGGAGGTGGAGGGCGGCAACCCTCTAGCATGGAAGCTGGATAAACTGCCTGAATCTGCTGCACAGTCCCAATCACAGTCCTTCCTGCCAGCACTATGTCATGGTCTGTAGGATTCTGTACACTAACAGTAATAGATGGTTTATTACCTTTTCCCACTTTTACAAGCGTGTCACAGAATTGAAGTCCCTCAGCCCAGCGTGGGTTCACATCTGGCTCAAAGATAAGTGTTGTATCTTCATCTGGTGCAGACACATTTACATGGCACTCAACTTTGACAGACATGTGTTTGGTATGTTGATCCTGTCTTTTTTTGTCTTCACAACATATTCATGATTTTGCTCAACACTTACTTGCTGTACAAAGCTTCTGCTTGGTTTGGCTTGAGATCAGGGAATGCTGCCCTCACTGCGTGACTGAGGCGTTCTCTGTTGTTAGAGCTGGACTGTTTTGATTCACTGTTTATAATGAGATCATAACATTAGAGCCAATTATGGGACGAAACAGATTGTTACCTTTCATCACAAGTGTTGGAACTATAACTTCTGTGGTGACTGCTTCTCCTGGAGCTAGTCTGAAAGTAATCTCACCCAGCCTGCATATGGTATATTCTCACCATTTGCTGCCACAATGTCAAGAGTATCTGCACTGTCCAGAATTTCAGAAATGTCTCTCAGTCTCAAGTCTGGTACGTGTTCTTGTTTCCATGTTCATCCATTATTGTTACTTGGGAACCTGAGTCCACAAAAGCTTGAACTCTTTCATGTTGAATGTAACAGTCGATCACATATTTTTTTCCTACCAGAGGAGCCACTTTTGCTTGTTTCTTCCTTTTGAGTGAGTGTTCACAGTCATACATGAAAATGGCACACATTTTTCTTGGTGCACAGCCCAACCATTAACTTGACATGACTTAGAACAGTAAGAGTTCATTTTTACATGATGCACATTGTTTCAGTCTCATCTCTTTCACCTT